CTATGTAAGTCACAGACGTTAAACTATAGATTAGGTTGTCAGAAAAACTCCTACTATTTTATGATAATCAAGAGAAACAATTTAGTCAATATATCAAATTTTATTTTTTGGCCACAACTACCTGTAAACAGTTAATATCAAGGGAGGAGAACAAAGAATACTTAAATTCCACCAAGGGTGATACAATTGAAAGAACTGAGCTTAATGTAAGCAGCCTGTCGCTTTTTCGCATGTAGGTAAAAAAGAAAGAAAAAAACAACAACTATACAACAGCAACAAAAGCAATAAAATTCTTAGGAATAAATTTAAGAAATGTCAAAAACCTTTATAATTAAAATTCCTGAAAGACACAAAAGTAGATGTGAACAAATGGAAAGACCTCTTTTTACTGGATAAGATAATTCAACATCACAAACATGTCAGTTCTTTATAAGTTAACTTATTAATTTAATAAAATCCCAATGAAATATACAAACAAGATTTTTTATGGAGTTAGACAAATTGATACCAAAATTCAGACGGAAAAATAAACATCCAAAAATAGGTAGGAAAATACAAAAAAAGAAAAGCAGTGTGGTGGTGACACAGGAATACATAAATTGCCTAGTGGAATAGAATGGAAAGCCTAGAATCAGACCCAAATACATCTGGAAATTAAGTATATTATAACAGTAACATCTCAAATCACTGGAACAGACTTCCTAATAAATTGTACTCAGACAACTAGTTAAAAAGATAAAATTAGATCATTAACTTATATCATGTGGAATAAACTCCATATACAAGAATAAACTCCAAATGAATCAAGGATCTAAATAAAAAAGCAAAACCTATAACTACTAGGAGAAAATATGGATAATTTCCAGTTAGCCTGAGTACAGAGAAAAGGCTTTCTAATCATAACACAAAATCCACAAAATAAGGTAAAAGAACAATCAATTCAATTGGATAGGGGGAAGAGGAAGAGACTCAAGATTTCTTAGCAAAAAAAAAGAAAGAAAGAAATACTTCACACAAAGCGAAAATGCTACATTTATCACAGGTAAGGATTAATTCCATAATAAAGTATTCTTTAGAGTTGATAGCAAAAAACGAAAAACCCATTTTAAAAATGGGCAAAAATAAATAATTCACACACACCCACAAAAACAAAATGAATTTTAAACAGATGCAAAGATGCTTAACAGCACACAAAATAAAGATTATAAATTAGAACTACAGATAGATACCTTTCTTCATCTATCACAGCAAAAATTGCAAAAGTAAAGCAACTCTTATAGGCAAAGCTATAGGGAAATAGGCACTCATATTTTACTGGAGAGAATGCAAATTGGTACAACCCGTATGGAGGAGAACTTAGCAATATCAAATAAAACTACACGTGTTCATGTTTGACTCAGTAGTTCCACTTCTTATACTGAATACAAAATACATATTCACAAGGTAATTCATACCAGCAGCCCTCTTTGGGACTGAAAAATTTTGAAAACAAATACCCATAAATAGGAGAATGGTTGAATCAACTATGCAATACTATGCAGCTGTAAAAAGGATGAGAAAAATCTCTGAGCTGATAAGCAATGATTTCCAGGAAATATAGTTAAAAGAAAAAGCAAAGTACAAAAGAGTATCTCTAATATGCTACCTTTATGTAAGAAAGATAGCAAAAAAAAAAAGTTTACACACATCTGCTCTTTTTATACAAAAATAAACCAGAAAAAGTAAACCGGAACATAATGAAACTAGCTATTTATAGGGAGTAAGTGGAAAAAGAACAGAAGGAATACAGAGGGAATGAGGTATGTGTATTTCTGACTTCTGAAACCATGTTATTGTTTCACAATGAAAATGTAAATAATTGTTTTTAAAAATCAAAAGAATGGGGTAAAGTTCTAAGAAGGGACACATACAGAAACTAATGCACAATCTATTTCACATAAATATCCTAACTATGCCAAAGGGAAAAATTAAAGTCCCCCATCCACCCCCCCCCTCAAAAAAAAGGCAAGAAGAAGTAAAACTAACCCAAACACTTCCTGAACAGAATACATGGGCCATATACCTTTCAGGCCAAAGACAAAAAAAGTGTAAATTAATACTGAAGTAGGTCCGACTCTGCCCCATGGGTATGAGTTAACAGTTCTGAAACTACTTTGTGAATTCTAGGATTGAGACCATAAGGAAATATATTGCGGATAATGGGTACCAGGTTTCTCACTTCAGAAAAAAGAGCTACAAATATAGAAAGAGGGAAGGCTAGAGTGAATTCTGTGGTATTGCTCAGAAATTGGAAGTACAAACTTTTAATAGAAAGAAACAAAGAAAAAGACACGTGTGTGTGAATGTCTATCTATACACATGTATATAATGTGTGCAGTGCACACGCACACGCACCCCTATTGTCTAGTTCTGTTGGCTAAGATGAACTCGACCCAGCTTGAAAGGGCTTTCACTGGCCAAATATAAGGCAATCTAAGTGTCAAAATGACTACAGATTATAACTTATTATAATAAAAATCAAGGAGTCCATATGATATATACAAATAAAGAGAAGGGAAAAAGTCTTTCTTCCTTATACTCCTTACGGCAGAATCTCAACTAATAGATAAAAAGGAATAAAAGAATTAGAAAACCACCATTTGGTAGCCTTTATTATAACTGATTCAAACAAGATTCATCAATGCATACTAAAACTAGTTAGTGAAAGTTTAATGAAAAACTATTTATGGGGCCGGCCCGGTGGCGCACTGCTACAGTGCGCCGCTTGGGAGCGCGGCGGCACTCCCGCCGAGGGTTCGGATCCCACATACAGACCGGTTCCCGCTCACTGGTTGAGCGAGGTGCGGGCGCAGCACCGAGGGTTGCGATCCCGTTGCCGGTCCCAGTCCGATACGGGCGCGACACTGAGGGTTGCGATCCGTTGCAGACACGAAAAAAGACAAAAAAGGAAAAAAAAAAAAACTATTTATAAAGTCTAAAAGTATCTCCCCATAAAATACTTTTTTTTATTACAGAGGGAAAAGTAGTGACTCTACAATAAAGAAACCTGGCAGACAGTACATTAAGAGATGGAAGTCAACATCATTAGTAATGGGACAGACAGACACCATGGGCCTCCTGATATGAAGTATTAAGAACAATAAAACATCATTTCTATAGCATTCCTGCCAAAAATTAATATTCTGAATCTAATTATGAGGAAACATTAGACAAACCCAAATAACTGTGGCCTGTACTGTTCAAAAAAGGTGAATGTCATGAAAGACAATAACAAAGGAACTGTTTTTGGTAGAGGAGACTACAGAGATATGACAACTAAATACATGACTCAAGATTTTCTTTTGCTGTAATGTACGTTACTGGAGCAACTGAAGAGATTTCAACAAGGTCTGCATATTAGATAACAGTATTATACAAATGTTAATTTCCAGATTTTTGATAACTGTTCTGTGGCTATGTAGGTGAATGTCCTTAAATTTGGGAAATACACATTGAATAATTTAGGGATAAAGGGGCATCATTCTTGAAAGTTGTACTTAAACATTTCAGGAAATAAAAAGATATGTGTATGAGGGGTCTTCTTCATGGAAAGATTCGTATTATCTTTTCATTCTATTTTTCCACAAACTTTTGAAGTACCCTCGTATCCAGGAAGAAAGAAAATGATAAAGCAAGTGTGGTTTATGTTAATATCTGGAAAATCTAGACGAAAGAGTTAAGAGAATTCTTTGTACTATTTAGTGATTTTAAGTCTGAAATTATTTCAATATAAAAATCAGCAAGAATCAAATGATTTATGTATAAGAAGGCAATTTTTAAAATTATAAAATGCTATATGAGCACATTATTACTTTCAAACAGATCATTAGAAAATCCGTTTTAATTAATTTAATTAGTCACATACCCACACAATCCTACTACAGGGTAAGCTTCAAGTTATAAGTGCCTCTTATTCTTAAGCTACTGTTTCTGACTCGGTATACTTCCCCCATCAAAACATGAAAAAAGGACAAAACCATAATTAAATTATAATAGAATATTAGGCCTACTATTTTGTTAATTGACAATAGATTACAGATACCTGTGCCTGTCAATAAATACATATAAAAAGCATAGTATCAAGACACAATTTCTTGCAGCAAAGGCACTGGTGTTTTCTTACCTTATTATTTTCCTGCCTCACACACCCTTTTATTTTGGGTCAGGTTACCTGTTCCTCTCTGTAATGCATAACTTATGAAAAGTGTCCAAGTTCCTAGTGAGAACTATCCTTTGCCACTAAATATAAGTTTTCTATTATTTCAACGTTTGCCCTCAGATTTCTACAGTTCCTTTACATAGGCATATATTCCCATTCTTTAATGAAAGTGGTTTTGACATATCCTACGTTTAGAACCTTCTTAAAAATGAATAATGATGAAAGACACGATAAATTAGAAGGAAGACAGAACTGCTAAATAAAACCAACAGCTTGTTCCTTGAAAAGGCAAGATGACTAAAACAAAGCCATACAGCAAGTCTGACCAGAAAAAATAAAAAATAAAAGAAAGCACCAATACATATAATACAGTTGCTCGTGCAACTAGCAGCCAGTGTAGACAACAGAAAATTCACTGCTGTTCCCTTTCATAATACACTTTCACACAACAATGAAATCACCTAACATGGCACTTCTCAGAACATATCCCCATCGTTAAGTAATGCATGGACTGTAAATATATGACTCACAGCAGGGGTAACAAAAGTTACGTTGCAATCTTCAGTAAATTTCACAAGGGTACTTCAAAAGATTTGTGGAAAAAATTTGTATTATCTTTTAATTCTATTTTTCCACGAACTTTCTGAAAGTACCCTCGTGTAATTACAAAATACATGAAGATACAATTAAAGTCACTATAATAGTTGGGCTGAACAAAAATTCACACAATAGATGAAATTTGAAGCAAAAAGAAGCAATTGAAAAAAAAATCATTTACATGTATTAAATACCAAGGTCTTACCTTAAATCTCTTATCTTGCAATACTTTCTTGATGGCAACCAGTTCTCCTGAATCACAAAGTTTGGCTTGATATACCACACCAAATGACCCATTCCCAATCACTTTAGTGTCTGTATAGCTGACTTCTTGTGGCCTGTCTGGACCTTGCCCAGGAGTGGCCACCACTGTGGTTACCTTGCTGCCATCCTTGTCTCCTAAAGGAAGAAAGGAATTTTTAAAAATAAGAACTATAAAGAAACCAAGAAAATTGCCAAAGTACACAAAGCAAACTATATTCTTTACTTTAATTAATTTTAATTAAAAATGTTTATCTTAATTTATCATATACAATTATTTGTTTCAATTATAGTAATTTTTTTAACCACCAATTTATTCAGTTATTCTGAAAGGCATCATGCTTAGTTTATATATATGATTTCATTCAACGAAAACAATCCCACAAAGTAGAAAGTGTTGTTCCCATACTAAAAGTAATGAGAAAAATGTTAAATTTGCCCGAAGTCAAATAACAAATGGTGGATCCATCAGGGTTTGACCTTAACTGCCCAACACTAAAGAAATAAAGTTCTTTCCTTTAGCCTCCTCATTTTACTTGAAAAGAAAATATGTGCAACTGAAAATGTCTAAATATGTCAACTCCATTCAGACCATTCTGCCTTTAGGAAGATAAGGCTTTGAGGTATTGCTTTCCTGTCTCTTATTTCTTTTCAAAGTAGAATACCTTTCAGAGAAGGTCAGATGGAAAAAAGAATATTAATTTGGGGTTAACAGATGTAAAATGTAAAAGAAAAAAATCAGACCCATTCTGAACTGAGCCCCTTTTACAAGTAGCTCCCTGGCTGTGGGGTCTCTGTTCACTCATAGGCCTCTCCTTAACCTTTTTTGCCTTCCCTCACCCCTACTAACCATCCTAGTAGGCTCTATTCAAGTTCAAAAGCCACCTCCTACTTGACTAGGTATAGTCCACAATCACCACCTTGTTCTCTGAATTCTTAAACTATTCTAAACTATACTATACTACCTAGCACCTGGTTTTAAACAGCTAAATTTTTTTTAGTGATTGCAGCATATATGCAGATTCTCAAGACTACACATTCATCCTGAAATAGCCATTATATCTTCTGCTTCTCTCTTCCCCGACAAATCGAAAACCAATTCTCAGTACAGTACAACTCCTGAGGCTCACTGACTGAACTGTACTGTTTTCCTCTGCTACTCTTCCTTTATATCAGTTTTATTTTTTAAATGCTAACTGAATTCATACTAATCTAATAAAAGAAAAATGTAATATTTATGAGTATTTTCCTCTACCAAAAAAAATTGCTAAATGAATATCCAAATTTTGGTGGCACATTATAACCAATATTTATATCTATTTAAATACACAGAAGTGTTAATACAGTAGTCTCCCCTTATCAGTGGTTTCGCTTTCCAAGGTTTCAGTTACCCACAGTCAACCATGGTCTGAAAACAGGTGAGTACAGCACAATTAGATACTTTAAGAGAGAGAGAGAGACCACATTCATACAGCTTTTATTACAGTATATTGTTATAATTGTTCTATTATTAGTTATTGTTACTAATCTCTTACTATGCCTTTAATTTATAAATTAAACCTTATCACAGGTATGTATGTATAGGAAAAAACATAGTAAATATAGGGTTCAGTATTATCTGCAGTTTCAGACATCCACTGGGGGTCTTGGAACATATCCCCTGCAGGTAAGTGTGGACAACTGTATAGACAAAAGCTAATATGCAATGTCTGTGACTGATTAACTCTCTTGTTTATAAAATGGCCTTCATGGCATATACAAAAGCAATGAATGACTACAGAAGATAGCTAGGTGAATTACAAGCAGTCTATATTTTATCATGGCCAGCTATGTTAAACATGTCCTTAGTACCAAGGTAAAACACTCAAACAGGTATGATTTAAATGATTTAATTAGCACAAATCCAATACCACTTATGGAATGAAATCACTCAAATCTTGTCAACACCACCATTTTTATTTACAACAGTATTACATATGCATTAAGTGCTTACAAACCTCAGTACAAGCCAACTCATACATAGCAGTTCTCAAAGCGTTCAAATGCTTCCTTCAAGTGTCACCTTTTTGTAAAATATATCTTAAATACATCTGCTAAAAAACTAGTTTAATTTAATCTGAGTTCTAAATTATCATACCCCAACCCCTAAAAAAATCTATGTTAATCTTAACTATAACTTTTCAGATTGACTATAAACGCTACTGTAAGTTTCCCTCAAATGTAAAATAAACCTTTACATGTATTTTAGCACTTCCAAAGACAGAATCACAACCTTCTGAACTTAAATTGTAAATGAAGAGATCTAGAAAGGTTAGATCCAGACAGACTAAAATCCAAGGTATTGAATAGATTCTTATCATCCAATTGCACCAAAGAAGATTAAAAGCAGAAGTGATTTCAAACAGGCTGACTCTTCCTTAGATTATCCAAGTCAAAACTATTTCCCCCCCCCCAAAATTTCAAGAACTTTGAATTAATAATTCTACTGAACAAGTTTCTTGCAAAATCTCACAGGTCTAACTCACAAAACAAAGCATCATTATTAGCTTAATTAATATAAATTAATAGATTTTAAGAATGGCTGCTGTGCTCCACAATTTTAATTGAAAACAAAAACTTTCTGGGATACAACCAAAAATTATGCTTTTCTGCTATATGACCACAGCTTCGTACTCTCTCCAGTAAGAGAACTTAAGCAATACAAGCATTTGTGATGAACAGAGAGAATCAAGATGGCTGAACAGTCTCCAGTGTAACTGTCTCCCACAGCCAACCTATTTACAACTATTAAAAATCAAAGACTACCAAGCTGGGGCCCCTGGAGCTTACGGGAAGAGGAAGAGAGACCTACAGAGTTCATGAAGGCGGGAGAAACCACAATGAGAGAAAGAAGGGACTGCTCCGACTATTTCAAGCCCTAGCCATTTCAAGGCTGGCCCTGGTGAGCACATGGAGCTAGAGTGGCAAAACCCACTGCTGTGCCCCTTGTGTGAAGTTGCTTGGAGACTGCAGGGAAGAGGAGGGCCTTGGTGGCCCCCAGGCTAGCAAGGCCACTGACAAGGTTCCTGTGGACCCACATAGGAGGGGCCACAGACAATTGAAAAAAGGAGTTACTCACTCAGAGGCTTGTAAGTCATCAAAAGGGGACTGGTGTACAGCTCACCCCATGCGAAGTGTTTGAAGAGTGAGGGGTCAGGGAGACAGGCCCACCAGGGAACACTTGAGGCACAGCATGGATAGCTGATCTGCCCTCCCATCAGCACAGGCCCACTGAGCGGAGACTGGTCAGGAATACCGAACTGTACAGTGTGCAGTTTTCTGGAAAGACTCAGGACCAGACCACAGTTTTCGCATAACCCAGGTGTATCAGAACTCACAAGACCCAGAAGTGTTTAAAAGGTCAGCAATTAAAACCTGAGCTGCACAAAAACCCTTCCCCAGGGAATTAGCAGCAGAGCAGCAATTTAGCTCAACCATATTGCTCAAGTGCTGGTCCCTACGGGAAGTTCCCCCATTTTAGAAGTAAGCAAAGGACAACAAATTAGCTCCATTGCAGAGTTTAAGTGGTGGGGGTAGCTAATTATCCAACACAGAAGTGAAAGAAATCACAAAAATCCCACAGATCAAAGTTCTGATATTAACCAGTAAAGGTCTAACACCACCAAAGAACACCTATAAAACCTAGAAGAGCTGGAAGGTTCCCAGGCTCCAATGCTGGGGTGTTGGTGGGCCCACCAACCACCACCTGTGGCCCTCAGCCATGCCCTTTCTCCCTCCACAACCTGGCTGTGGGCCAGCAGTGCCCCCCACCCCCACCTCTGTCCCCTTTTCCTCCTCCCTGCTCCCCCTCCCACTGCTCTGCAACAACATCTTAGAATGTAAAAAAAATAACAATATATTAATTTAAAAGAAAATAAATAAATCAATAAATATAAAACATTCACACATCTAAGTCTCACTATGCAATAAAATGTGCTGCTTTTTATATAGAAACTCATATGACTGCTGTCTTACGTGAATTATTTTAGTTCAACACTCTTTAAAACCTGCAGAAAAAATAAGGTTTTTAAATCATGATCTGTATTGGCTACAACTATTAGTAATTTTATAAACCTGGATCCAGAACTGAGCATATATTTCACTGTCTGATGAAAAATTATTTTTAAAAAAGCATTTGTGATGACATTCCCTACTTTTCTCCTCAGATTGTACATCTAAAAAAACTTCACATTTCAGGGGTTAGAGAACCAGCTATGAAAGATATCCATCACAACTCTGAGATTTAGCATCTCTTTATTCCAACTGCTAAGCCTGGGAACATCCCAGCATTTGCAAATGGGAAAAATCACAAATGAGGTAATTCTGCTAAAATATTTATAGCAGAGTGGAAAGATAAAATAGACAGGTCCTACAGATGCTATAATTGAAAGAGAATCCTGAGGCCTCTTAGTTTTAAACAGAGACTTAATGTAGACAAAGGACCAATTTTTTCACTCTCTTGCACATCTAGGGAAAAAGTACTTACTACAGGAATTAAGAGATTTACCCTATTCTCTCTTAAGCAATTAGGGAAACTACTGAGAATTCTTACAGGCAAAATTCTCTACTAAATAAAAATAATGAGGAAAATCTAAGAGAGATAGCAGACAACCTCAAGCACTCTAACTTCCAAATTGTGGGTATTCCAGAGGAGAGAAGAAAGGAAAAGGTATTGAAAACCTATTCAAGGAAATAATAACAGGAAACTTCCCAGGGGTAGGGAGAGATGCAGACCTTCAGATCCAGGAAGCTCAAAGGTCCCCAAACAGATTCAATCCAAAAGGATCCTCTCCAAGATACATTATAGTCAAATTTGCAAAGCTCAAAGGACAAAGAAAATTCTAAAAGCAGCAAGAGAAAAGCATTAAGTCAGCTATAAGGGAACGCCTATCAGACTAACAGCAGACTTCTCAACTGAAACCCTACAGGCCAGAAGAAAGTGGAATGATACATTCAAAACACTAAGAGAAAAAAATTGCCAGCCAAGAATTCATTACCCAGCAAGGCTCTCCTTCAAAAATGACATAGAAATAGTGTATTTCCCAGACAAACGAAAATTGTGGGAGTTCACCACCACACAACCAGCCCTGCAAGAAATT